CCTGCTGGGCTTGGGGGGCCGTGGGGTCCAGGGGCTCAGCGGGGAGAGGGAAGACCTGARGAAAGGCCATCTGTCCCCAAGCCTCTGGGCTGCCCAGGGGTTGAGGAAGCTGTGGACAAGGTACCAATGGCAGAGAGAGGATGGGGCTGTGTGCTCAGCTAAGGCTACAGACACCCGTCTTTCTTGTTCCCCCTCTACCCCAACACCTAGAACAGGGCCTGCATGCAGTATGTGCTCAGTAAAAGTGGTACCAGGCTGGGGTGCAGCTCAGGGGTGGAGCACTTGCTAGCATGCAGGTGCTAGTGAGATGCCATTGTCACCAACAGCAGTTGGCAGCTCTGCCACTTTCTGCTGCCAGCCCACAGCTCAAGCAAGCGGCTCACCTCCAGTGTGTGTGAGAAAGCTGGTGCTGGCTTGGGGCCACCAGAGGGGACATCCCCTGTGGCGTAGCCTTAGGGCAGAGCCCACCCAGCACTGGTGCCGGCACCACCCCCCACCCTAGGCTTGGCACAGAGCCCATGAGACCTCCATTTGTCACTTCTGCTGGGCCTGATGGATGCCCATCTGCCCTGCACACTGGCCTAGAGACACACACTGAGARTAGGTGCCCAGAGCAGGACACACGGGGACACCAGCCTAGAGTCACTGATGCTGGGGTCCCTGTGGTGCTGTGGGCTCACCCAGCACCAGCAGCCTGGCTCAGGGTCCCTTCCCAGTGTTCAGCCATAGCAGCAGCAGTCCCCAAGCCTGGGAGCCCCTTCGATGTTTGGGWATTGCCCTCAGAGGGCAGTGCTGTCACCGTCCCAATTCATCCCAGGGACCTGGCATAGGCCCAGGGGCAGAGCCAGGCCCTCTTCCTGGCTCCCTGTGCCCTGCCTCCATCCCCKAGGGCAGAGACTGCAGCAGGAGGTGCAGGAGGGACTTGGGAAACAGCTTTGGGGAAGCACCAGTCTTTGCCACCAGGGGGCAGAAGTGCCTCTTGGGAGCAGGCAGCACCTAGGAGGAGGGCAGAGTGCCCATTGAGGTGGGTGACAATGACAGAGCTGGGGCTGCCTCTTCCCACTCGGTACAGGGCCCAGCTCAGCTTGGCCACTTACTGTGACCCCCAGCTTCTCAGTACCTGGGACCTGTCACCTGGAGCAGCAGCCTGGGAGCACTTGGGAGGCCTGGTCTGAGTGCCACCCTGCCCTGTTCAGGACTCCCTCCTAAACTGGCCCCTCAGGATAGGCAAAAGGGGCTGGTGACACGGAGATTGTGAACTTGTCCAGGGGTCTGCATTTGAAAACTGTCACTGACTGCCTGTGGTCCCTTCCTGTCCCCGGATGCCAGACTATCCATCTGTAAAGTGAAGGGCTGGGCCAGGCTCAGGGTCACAGACCCCCAGGTGCTGCCAGAGTCTTCAGGTGCCCTCAGCAGTCGCTGGCACTCTGGGTGCCGCCCCAAGACTGAGTTCAGTCCCAGCAGGGCCRGGAAGGGACGTCCTGGACCAGCCATGGGGACTTTCTGATGCCAAGTCCTGCAGCAGGGAGACTGTCCCAGGTCCCAGGCCTGTGCCGACGGTTGAGGCCACCCTGAGCCAGTTCCTCACCTCGTTTCATCAGGGTCCAGGGTGTCTGAGGCCCTGAGGTCACCTGACTTGGCTCCGCGGTTTCCTCCTCCACCACCACCTGTGGTGAGCTCTCCTGTCAGGACAGTCCTGGGCTCTTCCAGTTCCCTTTGGCCCCTGGGGCCCTACACCCTACTGGGCAGGCGGGGGTGGGATAAAGTTTGGGTCCAGGGGGAGGAGAGGATGTGGCTCTGGATCAGAGTGGCTCTGGTGGCTTTGGGTGCAAGTGAATGTGTCCCCTGCCTCCCATGCCCTTCGAGAGGCGTTTTCCTTCCCTGAACTCTCAGAAACTCTTAGATGGGTCCTGCCCAGGTCCTGCAATACCACTGCTCAACCCCACAACCCCTCTCTCAGGCTTAAAGGGCCCCACAAGGCATGGAGGACCCAGTGGGCAGGGGAAGCATGGCCTAAGCCGTCACAGGGATGGCCCAAGAGGTGTCCTCTGATGGTCTCAGGGAGCCATTGCAGGCCATGCAACCATGGGCAGCCGCTCTGCAGGCCCCACGGGGCACAATTGGGCCTGAACTGGAGTCCAGTTCCACAGTGGCCCCCTGCCCTGGGGTTAGTGATGGCCTCCACCACAGAGTTCCAGGCCCAGGGAGCTAAGCCTGTGGCCATGCCAAATGCAGGGTGGCACGTCACCTCTGTACCTGCTCTGCATCCTGACACCCGGCTGTGTGTGGAGTTACATCAACCCTCTGCCACCAGCCGGAGATTGTAGTACTGGGCCTTCCCCGTGCTGGACAAGTGGGCAAAAGAGCCACGTCCCAGGCCCTGTACAACGTTGTTTTGAGTAGGATCTCACTCAGCCGCCTGGGCTGGCYTTGAACTTTGAACCCTCCTGCCTCAGCTTCCTTTGTGGCTGGGAAGACAGGTGTGTAACACTCCCTTCATGAGAGATGCCTTCGTGATTGCTCAACCTTTCCCACCTTCTGGATTACAGACTGCTTGATCCTCCTGCACTGAAGCCCCTCCCTCCAGAGCCCCAGAACTCTCTCTTCCTGCTCCTGCCTCCCCCTCCCTCCTCCTCCCTTCTCTCCTCCTCCTGCTCCTCACTCCTTCCCCTCCTCCTCCCCTCTTCTTCCCTCCCCCTCCTCCTCCCCTCTTCTTCCCTCCCCCTCCTCCCTCCCCTTTTCTCCCCTCCCCTTCCTCCCTCCCCTCTTCTCCCCTTTCCCTCCCCTCTTCTCCCCTCCCGCTCCCTCCTCCTTCTCCCTGGGATTCTCATCCAGAGCATTCCCATCTCCCCCAGCCCAGCTCCTCCCATCCCAAAGTGCTGAGCACACAAGGCAGCCCTCCCCTGAGCGCCAGCCCCTGCCCCAGCACAGCAACCATCATCCAAAGGTTTGGTGGCTCTGCTGCATTAGCACCAGTGGCAGAGATGTGACAGTCTCATTTCTGGGTGTGGGGGCTTCTGTTCAGCCTTTTCACAGTACTGTCTAATTTAACCTGTTCCTCCTGTGAGATAAGTGTGAGACTGCCGGTGGGCGTGGACCAGGGATGCAGGGATGAACCAGTCATAGTCCCTGCCCTCCTGGCTCATGGCCAAGGTCAGAAAAAGTCATCAAATGACAGGAGGGCCAACCTGAGCCTCAATGAGGACAAAGTCAGTCAGAGAGGACGCTCTGGGGCCTGGGGAGCAGGCAGGTCCTGAAGGTCCCTAAAGGGTTGAAGGCTGGCTTCTTATGCAGCACTGTGCCACAGGCAGCACAGGAGGTACTGAGGGCTGCTCGGGCCACCACTGAGAGAGCAGCCTGTGGGGCAGAGAGTGGTCAGGAGGGGTTTGTGGTCCAGGCTAGAGATGCCAGGAGCTGGGGAAGGGAGGAGGGGTCAGCGGACAGGGCAAGAGGGCTTTGCCTAGTGCCATCAGGTTCAGGGAAGAGTCACAACTGTGTCCACCCCCTCCACATGGAAACAGGCTCAAGAGAAGCATCTTATCTAAGTCTACACAGCAAGTCCTGGGCACTTGCGAGGCCAGCGTGGTGGATATGGCCCTGTTAGGGACCCAGGGAAGCTGCTGGTCTTCAGGTAGCTAAATTCTCACAGTTGTGCTCTTTCCAAATACAGATCAGTAATTACTGTGGCACTTTTATACACCGTTGTAAACACAGTGCGGTGGGAACCTCCTTCCGCTGAGACACCTGGCCAGGGATGGAGAACACCCATATGGCGACCTGAACACCTGAGGGTGTGGCTAGAAGGTGACCAGGCAGGAGGTTCCCCAGGGACAGCCTCTGAGCATGCACACACCTGCCGAGAAGGAGCCTACCTCCCGTGCCTTGCCCTTCCAGCCCTGGATGGCTGGTCACCCCTCACTTTCATTCCAGCACAGAGGCCAGAAGTGCCTCCTCTGTTGACCTCAGTCCCRTCCTCCCTGGTCCTGGCCCAGGCGTGCTGGGTGCCCAAGCCCAGGGTCCTCRAATGTGGGCAGGGGGATCCTGGCCCTTCCTGGCAGCTCAAGTTGCTCATGAGGGCCTCCGTCTCAGGGTGACAGGCCCTGTGGGAGGTTTGTGGGAACCAGGAGTGGTCCCTCATGGCTCTGCCTCCCTAGGACAGGGGGATGTAGGTGCCCAGGAATGCTGGCTGGGATGAACTGAGCAGCAACTCCTTCCAAGGTTCCCTTCCATTCGGGGTCAGGCTCCTCCAGCAAGGGGTGGTGCCTGTCAGCTCCTATGGGAACCCCCCCCCCCCGCCAGGCGGTGACTTGCCTGGCCTCGTGGTGACTGCTCAGCATTGGGCATGTTCCACTATGAGCCTCAGTCTCCTGCTGGGGAACGGGGTTGTGAGATGGAGCTACCCAGGCTGCGGCTTCCCTGGCAGGAATCACTGCCCCAGGCACAGATTAGGACACCCCACTTGTTTCCACCATCCTGGGGKAACAGGTCGCCACAGCGTGGCAGGTCCCTGCTCTGGGATGACAATCCCTCTTCCTTCAAACCCCAGTCCAGCAACTCCTCTGGGCAGCCAGCCAGAAGCTGCGGGTCTGTGTCCTACGGGCCACGTTGGGGGCTCCTGGCCAGAGGCTCCTCTGGGGCTGAAAGCCTCGATTCAAAATTGTGGGAGAACTGCAGAGGAACCTGTGTCAAGCAAAGGGGTCTCGGGGTCTCTGGGCACAGCCTCCTTGAGCACGCGAGAGGAGGAAGGCGTGAAGGCTGGAGGCTTGATTGTGAGGTCGCAGGCCGCCGTCGCTGTGGTTGGTGGGGCTGTGCGTCCTGCGTGCGCTGGCTTCCTGTGGGCACGTGTGGCCCTCAGAGGAGGGGAGGGGGCTGAGTGTGACCCCCGCGACCACGCAACGAGGGACGCACCGGCCGCCAGGGGCGGGGCGTCGAGCCCGCGCCCAGCTGGTCCACGCCCCTGCCCGCCCCTCTCTGAGGCCCCGCCCCTCGGCCCGGGYTCCGCCCCCGGCCTGCGTTTGCGCGGGGCCAGTGCCGGAGGCGCCCGGGACTGTGCGCGCTGCAGCCGCTGGGAGCAATGATTAACCCGGCGGGGCTGCCGGCAGGCGGCCCGGGGCGGAGGCGCGGGGCCGGGGCGGGACCCCGCCGGGCCGTTCGGCTTCCTGCTCCTGCCCAAGTTTCCTTGTAGAGGGCGCAGCGCCGGGCCGCGGCGTGGCGTGGCGCAGGGCACGCGTGGCCGCCGAGCGGGCCACCAGGGTCACCATGAGGACTCTCCGCAGGTTGAAGTTCATGAGTTCGCCCAGCCTCAGTGACCTGGGCAAGAGAGAGACGGCGGCCGCCGCCGCGGACGAGCGGGGCACACAGCAGCGCCGGGCCTGCGCCAACGCCACCTGGAACAGGTAAGGCCGCGCCCTCCCGGGTCCCGGCGCCTGGGAGGGGGCCTCGGAGCCTGGCCGCGGGCGAGGGCCGCCCCGAGCGAGGAGCGCGCCCGGGCACCGCGCTCCGCCGTTCGCGGAGAACTTGCTCCGCCCGCCGGAGTTGCGCGGGCCGGAGGGAAGTTTAGTGCAACGTGTTCCCGGAGCGGAGACCGAGGCCCGCGAGGTCCGGGGGTGGGTCGGAGCGCCCGGGCCGGCGCGGAATCCGGGGCGCTTCCACGTCTGCGCCCGGTGGGCGTGATGGCAGGAAGTGTTCTCCGTGTGTGCAGGGGAGCCCGGGAGCCTCGGGGCTCCGGGTGGGGAGCCGCCGCACTTCCTGTGTCTGCGTGTAAAGTCCGGCGAGGGTGGGCGGTGACTCCCCAGTGGACCCAGCGCTCCCAGCTGTCAGCAGGGGTGCGGCAGCTGCCGGCAGTCCTGGCCAGACCCTCCCCCACAGGCCCGACCCCAGCCCASCGCGGGCCTGGGAAGCCCCTCCCGCCACTGTATGTGCCGGGCGTGCTGGGTTTGCGAAGCCCATCTGTTGGCGTCCAACTTTCAGGAATAGGAGTTTCCACCAAAAGGAGGCCAAGGGCTGAGGGGGCGAGGCAGGCCATTGGGGTTCTGTGGATGCCGGCTCCACYTCTGCACCTGGCAGTACTCCGGATGCCATTTGCCATGCTCCTCTACCCAAGCTGTGGGTTCAGCCACCAGAGCCTGGCTGCCACTTGGACACATGTCTAGTCCGTTAATACCACCCTTCATGGGCACCTTGGTGGGCACGGAACTGCCAGCTAGGACCCTGTCTGAGCACTAGGCAGGACCTGGTCACTTGTGTGCCTGTCTACTAAGTCGCAAGCTGCTTGAGGACTGGGACATGGCTGCCCTGCTTTCTCTCTGGTGGGAATGCACAGCCCTCCCAGTGCAGGGTTTCAGCAGAGGAGGAGAAGGATTCCTGTTGGGGAGACTCACTGGCCCTGTGACTCCTGGGGCCTCAAGGTTCCTGTCCTCCTCTGCAGTACTGATGATGGAGAGTTCTTGTTTCTTGCCTGGGTTTAGTGGAAGGAGCCAGACTTAATTCACAACCCTGCTGTGTGGACTTGAGCAAGTCATCTAACGTCTCTGCTCCTCTGATTTCTTTATCTATAAAATGGGTGAATAATGGTGGCCTCTGTCAGAGCTATTGTCAGAACTGAACATGGAAATGCACTGATGCCCCCAGCATGGTGCTTGGCTCGTGGAAGGTTCTCCTGACTGGCAACCCAAGCCCAGGCCCAGTGGTGCACTCCTGTAGTCCCTGAGGCAGGAGGGTCACAGGTTCAAGCCTGGGTGACTTAGCAAGATCTTGTCTCAAAAAATAAAAGGACTGGGAATGTAGCTCAGTGCTAGAGTGCCTCCAGGTCCAGTCCCCAGAGCCAAAAAGGATAATAAAAGAACTTATCCCTAGAGCCCCTCGAGGCAGCATCCAGGGTTCTCCTGGGGAGTCRGTCACTTCCTGAACCTTCCACACAGACAGCAGCCTTGTGAGCCCCCTCCCACCCAGGCTGAGTCTCCTCCTGGGGTTTCCAAGTGGGAGCCCTGGCTGGGTCCCTGCTCAGGAGACTTAGGAACCCCCTCCCTAACCCTGGGTGACCCTGGAGGCTCTGAGTCTCAGGTGAGTTCTGGGACCCCAGGGAGGTCACCTGAGTCCTGCCACTGGTGTGTCACTGGGTGGCCCTGTCCTGTGGCTCCTGCCGGCCTATGTCTCCCAGCCTGGGGCCCGTCAGCTCCCACCTGTCCTGCGTGCGCAGCAGGCCCTACCGCGACCTGTGCTTCTGCTGTGTGCCAGGCCCCGTGAGCAGCCTGCTTCTCCCTGCCCCTCGCCTGGCTCTCAGCCCGCACCACTCGGGACATGCAGGGCCCAAGCCCTGCTCCTCTCCATGGGCAGGTGTGCGCTGGGCTCAGGGTCAGAGTGCCTTCCCCATCTACAGTGGACACAGTGGGATCCAGGGGTCCCCTCCTGGTCCCTGAGCGTCATCTGCTGCCCTCTCCTGGCATGCTCCCTTGTGCAGGGTCAGGACAGCTTGGACTCCTCCTTCCCTCTTATCTTGTGACTGCCATCATTTTCCTGGGGCTGCTAGAATAAATGACCACAAACCTGTGGCTTTAAACAACCAAAGGAACCCTGTCGCAGTGGCAGAGGCAGAAGTCCACCAAGGTGTGCTGGCTGTGCCCCTGGCGGCTCCAGGGCGGTGTCCTTTGCCTCTGCAGGCTCCAGGCCCTGCACAGCCCTCCAGCCTCTCCTCAGGGCCGCCTCCTCCAGACCCCAGACCTGGGCTGGCTTCCTCTCGGGCTCCTCACCCACCACATCTGCCAGGACCCTGCCAGGACTCACCTCCCGGTCACGGCTGAGGTCCTGGGTCCTGGGGGGGGGGCATGGCCCACCCGCTGCAGCCACCACAGCGCCACCCCTCAGCTCCTGCACCTCCCTCTCCTCTGGCACGAAGATGGAGCCCATGCCCTCACCCTGGCCAGTCCTTCCCTCACCCCTCGTTCCCTGCTAGCCTCTGCTGGCCCGGCCCAGGCTTACCAGAGAGCCGCCGCGGGAGCCTGAGGAGCAGTCAGRACACAAGCAGGGAGCCACCTCTGGAAGGTGACGGCGCCGGCGGCCTGGTCCCGCACGGCAGCCCGTGCCCCTGGGGCTTGCGAGTGGACACTGAGGGGGTCCAGGCCAGCTGCTGAGCCAGAACCCACCGAAGCCACCTGCTGCTGCTGCGCTGCTTCAGTGGGCAGCTATGGCCCCTTCCGGCCTGTACCAGGCCTGGGCTGAGCCACGCTCCCTTGGGGCACTTCTGGGGTATGGGTGCCAGTGAGGACAGGAGTCTGCAAGGGTTCTGAAGGTATCCCTGCTGCTCCCACCTGGCGCCTTCATCTCCCTGAAGGGCCCTGACCCGCGTCACCCTGGCAGCCCCACTCCCTGCTCACTGCACATGCCTGTTGCTCACTTGGGACCCCTAGTCCTGTGAAGGTCGTGCCCTTGAACTGAAGGGCCACCTGTGTTTTCACATCCTTCCTGGTGGAGCAGGAGGTGCTGGGGGTGACCACTGGGTATATCCTGAGGGGAAGGGCGTGCAGGCCTTTGGAGCTGGGGCTTGAGGTTGGCCTGGTGGGGTGCCAGGGCAGCCCTGTGATCCTCTGGCCAGGCCTGAGTCTCCCGGCAGSGACGCACTCCCAGCCCCTGTTTCTCCCCTGCCTCCAGGGGCACCAGAGACACTCCCGGAAGATGCCTGAGATCCACGGAGGTCCCAAGGTTCTAGGGGGACACACCAGGTATTCAGGCCTTCTCAGGCAGGGCCTAGACAGTGTCCCCACCTCTGTCTTGGAACCCCCCGTGGGGCTGACCACACAGGAGACCTCCCCAAGCCCACCTGCGGGCACACCCACCATGGAGCGCCTCCCAGAGGCTGGGGCCTTGGAGCCCAGGTGTCCACCTGCTCTAAGCGGAGGCCTGGGCAGGGATGTGCCCGGGTAGCCCAGGGTAGAGAGGCAGGGCTTTGCTTCTCATCACCCACCAGGGCACCTCCTCGGGTGCCCTACATAGGGAAGCAAACTCAGTGGGAAAGGGACTGGGACAGGTCCCCAGTCTGACAGAGCATCCTCCAGGGACACGCAGGTCCCAGCTGGGGCCAGGTGAGGTGGGTGTTGGCGGGAAGAGCCGTATTCCATAGCTAGCAGCTGGCCCTGGGGTGAGGGCACAGGCAGGCGTCCCCAGGACCTGGTCTTGTCCCCTGGTCCTGGACAGGCTCTGACTGGCCCCATCCTCCAGCATCACAAACACCCCATTTCACATCCAGCAGCCACACCCCAGCCGGTGCTGGGGACATGGGCATGGGTGACATCCCCTGTCCCCATAGCCCTCAAGGTGGAGCTCGATGTCCCCATTCTGCAGATGAACAGACAAGGCTTACAGAGGTGCAGGGGCCTCCTGTGTCCACACAGTGGTCAGGCTGGGGCTGGCGTCCAGCCAGGTCCACCCACTCCTCCCCCAGCAGCCCTGGAGGGAGGCCGTGTCCTTCTTTTCTTTCTCTGGCAGTAGAGGTCGAGCCGCGTGCTCAGCTGCTGAGGCTCCGACCTCAGCCTCCCTGGCCGCTGGGATGAGGGCGTGCGCCAGCCCAGGAGGGTCCTGCGAGGCAGGCATGTGGCCCAAGGCTTCCAGGTGGGCTGAGGCGGGCAGAGCTGCCCTGGGCCCCCTGAAGGTGACTGTGGACGTGGGGTTGCTCGGGGCAGAAGGGACTTCGCAGCTGTCACTCGGTCAAGGGTCTTGAGGTGGGAGGTGGCCCTGGACTAGCAGGGGAGGYGCTGCGTGACCACAGGGTCAGAGTCAGAGAAGGGGGACAGAAGCAGAGAGGCCAAGGAACAGGGKGCTCTGGAAGTGGAAAAGGCAAGGAGGGTCCTCTTGGAGCCTAGCCTGAGGTCCCCACCCCACCTGAGGCCAAGCCAGCCAGGCTGAGGCGAGTCGGCCGCCTCTGAACCACAGGACAGATCGGGAGCATTTTAGAAAATTTGTGGCACTCAGCCCACCTACTGTCTATTGGCACCAAGGATCAAGCCCAAGGGTGCTCACCACTGAGCCACACTCCCAGGGGTGCTGGACTACTGAGCCACACCCCCAGGGGTGCTGGACCATGAGCCACACCCCCAGGGGTGCTCACCACTGAGCCACATTCCCAGGGTGCTCCACCACTGAGCCACACCCCCAGGGGTGCTGGACCATGAGCCACATTCCCAGGGTGCTCACCACTGAGCCACACCCCCAGCCCTTTTTATTTTTTATTTTGAGACGGGGTCCCACCAAGTTGCTGAGGGTCTTGCTCTGGCCTCAGCCTCCCAAGTCCCTGGGATCACAGGTATGTGTCATTGTGCCCGGCACTTGTGGCCCTGTGTTACAACACCCATGGGACACCCACATACCCAGCTTCTCCCCCTCCCCAGCCACAGCCAGTCAGAACCCAGCCTCCGTGGGTGGGGGACTGGGGAGGGGCCAGAGGCAGAGGTGGCCCAGGGTGGGCAGGCAGTCAGGGGGAGCGCATGGACACACCTCTGTCCCCAGCCTGTCCGTGGCAGGTGGGCCGGAGCCCAGGTGTGAATGGGCTCAGGTGCCTGCCACCTGGACCCTCGCAGGCTGGGCCCACTCCTGCCCACTCGGGTGYGGCGTGTTCCTGGCTGGAGGGGCGGGGTGCCGCTGGGTGGTAGGGTACTCACCGAGCACGTGGACGGCCCTGTGCTCTGCCCCCTGCACCAGAAATCCTGGTGACTCGTGGGTCCTGGGAGGAGCCAGGCCAGACTGCAGCTGGGGGGAGGGGCCCGCCAGCTGGGGGCCAGGTTGGTCTCTGGGGGGTACAGTGAGGAGGGGGCCCTACCAGTGACTCCGTCTTCTCTCCAAGCCCTCTGGGGCCTGGGAAGATAGGACCCTGCCTCCTGGGGGGCAGCCAAGATCCCCAGCATGGGCCCCCTGGGACCCCACCTCCCTCTTCAGCAGGAGCCTCTCCCCCCCGCCCAGGGGCCCTCCGTCCAGCCCTAGGGGGTGACACTCGATCCTGGTTYCTCACCTGCGCCCACCGCATGCAGTCAAGACGTGGGGGCCAGCCCTGGGACTGGACCACCCTCCTCGCATATGGGAAGCTGCCCTGTGGGGGGACCTGGGGCCAGGAGGGACCTTCTCCCTGCTGGGTGAGGGGCTCCCCCTCCGGCCCACCAGGAGTCCCTGGGGCCCTTGGGTTTCCACCAGAACACCTCAGATGCCTGGGCTGGCCCGCCCAGCTCTGGTCTAGGAGGCCCTGGCTGGACAGCTGGGGTTTCTCTTCTATTTTGGGGATGACGAGTCACACGAGGACCTCCGGCACTCCCCACCCTTCCTCTCCCTCCGAGGGGCACAGAAGGCTGTTTGGTTGACCAGCTGGGACTGTGGGGAGAGCGTGGAGCTGGAGAGGGCGGGGGTCCAACCTGCGCACCCCCAGGGTCCGAGTGAGGCGTGGGGAGGCGCAGCCTGCGGGGTGGGGACCCTGGGCCAGGGTCCCATCTCAGTTCTGGCTTTGCTGGGTATCAGCGGTGGCACTGGGACAAGCCCCTTGGCCTCTGTTTTCTTCTATGACCTGGAGCCTAGCGGTGCCCGCCGCCCGCTGGTGGTTAGGAGGAGGAGGAGGCAGAAGACCACCCATCCATGGCCCAGGCAGGTGTGGACGCGCTCTCCTCCCTGTGGCCTAAGCCTAGGACCACGCCCCGTGGGCAGGCACTRCACACCCCGCCCACCATGTGGAGGGGATACCAGGCCCAGGACTTAGGTGGCCTGGCCAGGCACCCAGCTGAGATTCAGACCCGGGCCTGACCTGGCCGTGCACGGGGCTGCAGAAGGTTCGGGGTCCACTGTGGGGTCGGGGTGAGGGGACAGGGACAGCAGAGCCTCGGGGGCATGGCCCGCAGCCCTGGAGGCCTGTGGCAGGGGTTCAAGGGCTTTGGACACYCACCCCTCCTGGGTCCCCCTCAGGTGGGGGTGCTGAGAGCCAGGTAGCCACCTTCTTCCCCAGGAAGACCACTGCCCACACARGGCCAGAGAGGAGGGCCCTGGCCCTGAGGGCAGGGAGGTGACCCTCCAGGGACAGGGAACAGCAGGGGCAGGCCCTTAGGCASGAGGGAGGACCTTGTCCAGTTACCTCCGTGCTGGGGACCAGAGCAGGCCGTCGGGTGGGTCCCTGAAGACAGTCAGTGGGGCAGCACAGGCCACCTGCGCCCAGCTGGCCCCGGGTCCTCCCACACTGGTGTCTGCGGGCCCCTTCTCCCTGGCTGGCCTTGGCCTGGCTTGAGTCCCAGCAATGGGACCGCCATGCACAGCAGAGGGGCCGTGCCCCCGGCCCCAAGGACAACCTCGGCCCGAGCCCTCCCTGAGCTGCCATTCGGGGCCCAGGGGCCAGGAATGCTGCCACCTGCCACAGCCCGGAGCTCCTCCCCTCCCTGGGGATTCCAGGGTGGCAGCTGCCCTCTGGGACCCGCCAGACCCTCCCTGGGATTAGTCCCTGTCTGCACACAGGACTGGCCCCGCCCTGGGTGGGCCACACACCCTTGCTGCAGCCGGCCCGGCCCTGGTGATCCCTCCCACAGACAGGGCAGGGGCTGGGGGGCAGACACACAAAGGGGGCGCCAGCCTAGGTGGTCGGCAACCAGGCCAGGGGCACGTGTCCAGCTGGTCCTGGCCAGCAGCTGCCGAGAGGCCAGCGGCAACTCCTAGCAGGGCAGGGCCTTGGCCTCTGGCCTGGCACCAGTTGTGGAGCCCCTTGGCATGCCGGGGACGTGAGGTCTGGGGACGAAACCCTACCCAGACCTGGCTCCATGCAGGGACCCTGGCTAGGTGGAGCGGGTGACACGGGTCACCAGGTTGCTAGCTCTGCRTCGTCTGGCGTGGGACTCAGCCTCTCTGGCCTCGGTTTCCTCATCTGCAGAATGGGCAGCCAGTCACAGGAAAGGGTTAATGAAAGGACACCAGGAGCCCCCCTGCTTCCTGCTGTGGGTGGCAGGTGTGGCCAGCTGTCCCTCCAGGCCGAGGAGTGTCAGTGTGGCAGCCAGCCCCCGCTAGAAAGCCCTAGACAGCCGTGGGCCCCCAGCCCYGGACTGCTCCCCACCGGGGACTCAGTGGTGGCAGGACTAGCGGGATGCTGGCGGGAMACTGGCCTGGGAGTGGTGTTGGGCAGGGCAGGAGAGCTTCCTGGAGGTGGTGGACAACTAGACCCAGGGACATGGCCCAGCCTGGGGGCCCTGTGCTCTGTGGGGGGGCCTGGGGTGCAGGAATGTCACCCACGGGGCCTTGGCCAGGGAGCAGCTGGCCAAGACAGGGTGGCCGGAGGAGGATGAGGCAGGCGCACGTTCCCGGCTCCTCTGAGCCAGAGGCAGGCACAGTCAGGAGCAGGCCTCCTTCCTGAGGGTCAGGTGCTGGAGCGAAGGCGGAATCCCGGGGACCCCGGCGCACGCGGGCTGGTGCAGGCAGGCGAGGCGGCCGGCTCTGTGCAGAGGCTGGGGCCCACGGGCTCCACTGGGGGTCTGCATCCGACCAGTGGGCAGGGCCCAAGCCACCACCTCAGCTAGAGCCGAGTGGTCACCAGAGTCCCCTCCGGCTTCAGAGGGGGCACCCATGGACCCTGCTTCCACAAGCTGGGGCTGAAGCCCTCGGGGCTCTGCTGACCACACTGGCTGGGGCCACCCGGAAGCTGGCCCTGGTGGGCTGGGGAGCCCGGGTCACGTGGGGTAGGGGGTGGGTGGAGGTGGAACGGACCCCAGGCAACAAGCCCTGAGCAGGCCGGTCAGTGGGATGTGGACACTGGGGGCAGGAGAGGCCAGCAGCGTGTCCCCCGCCCATTTCCAGCCCCACGGGGAAGCTGGGGAGGAGGTGGAGCTGGCCGAGGCTTGGCCGTGCAGGGTGCCCAAGCGGCCTGCAGAAGGCACCTGACCAGGAGGCACCTGACACAGGCCTTCGCTCCATGGAGGCCAGGGCTGAAATCTGGGTGTGCACAGGGCCCTGAGGGACCAGCCAGCCCTGCCCATCCCTGCCCYCTCCCGGCTCTCGAGGAGCTGAGCAGGGAAGGGGAGACAGGGGCCTCTGGGTGGTGACCCTCCTCTCTCCCTGGCCACAGCATCCACAACGGGGTGATCGCCGTCTTCCAGCGCAGGGGCCTGCCCGACCAGGAGCTCTTCAGCCTCAACGAAGGTGTCCGGTGAGTGTCCACCACCTCCTGGGGCCTGGCGGGTGGGGACAGCGAGCTCCTGCTGTGCTGGGCCTCGGTGGGAGGGCGAGGCCCGAGTGGGCAGCGGCCACGGCCAGGACCTGGACCCCCGTGACCTCAGCCAGCCTCTGGGCCTGGGGGCCCGCGCCTCCACCCCTCCCGGGACGTCCTTCCGGGGAAGCGGGTGGAGAGTGGCATGAGATGACACCTTCCCTGCCAGTGTGGAGCGTCACGTCACGGAGGGCCTTTATTCTGTCAGCGGAAGGACCCACCTGCCTAATGACCAGAGGAAAGGCAGTACAGCCCAGCACTCCTCTCATGTCCTGTGACGAGCAGGGAACGAGGGTGGGAGCACCCTCAGGGCACCACTGTGAAGCAGGCAGAGGAAGCCAGAGCTCAGAGGGGTCGAGCTACTTACCCAGGGTCACACAGCCCTGACCCATGCTGCCCTGTCCCCATGTGAAAAGCATATATGGAAAAGGAGTCAGGGAAGCTTCCCCTTGTCACCTGAGGTGAGAGGGAAGGGTCAGGACTGGTGAGCAGGTGCCTGTGACAAGGGTCGGCTGAGCCCAGGGAGGGAAGATGGCATCACGTGGAGAACAGAAACTCCCGTCTCCCTGGCCCTCGTGGRGTTCTGCTCTTGTGGCTCCCTGGGCCCCGGCTCCCCGCTTTTCTTACCTGCGTCTGCTCAGGGAACAGGTGTGTGACAGGCCTCGAGAGCCTCCTGGTGCTGAGGCAACCGGCAGGGAGACCTCGGAATGCCAAGCAGAGCTGGCAGAGCCCCGCCCCGGCCACCTCCCCACGGCCCCAGGCCATGGCGGTCACCCGGCCACTGCCTGCCCCGACACAGGAGACCTGGCGGGGACTTTGAGCCCTGCAGACACTGCAGTTTGGGGCACGTTGGTCTCAGCCAGGTGGAGATGGAGTGTCGGGAGCCCTTCAGTAACGGTGACAGGCCTTTCGCGGGAGTTTCGCCGGCACCACCCTGCGCCCAGAGTGCCCGTCTGACCTCTCGCCCACTTGGCACTGCGGCCCTGGGCCTGACTGTCTCATCTGGCAGATGGGGAGACTGAGGCATGGGGCCGTTGAGTGGCCTGCTCACAGTCACAGAGCTAGTGAGCCGGGACTCAGGCCTGGGGTCCTTCAGAACTGTCCGCCTGGACCAGCTCCCCGACCACGAGCCCACCTTGGATCAAGTGGGTCTGGTTAGGGGCGAAATCCAAGTGGCTGATGAGCTTTGGTCCTGTGTGTCTGGCTGGGGCTGTGGAGGGCAGCTGCTCCCTGAGGGGCGTCCCTCGCAGGGCCCAGCTTGGGCAGGGCAGGCGGGGCAGGCACCTTGCTCACCCCTGCTGCCCCCGTGTGTGTGCACGCAGGTGTGCCGGTGCCGCTTCTGAACAGTCGACGTTCCAGGTGCACCTCAGGTGACCCCATCATCCTGCCCATGTGGCGAGTGCCCACACACCTGGGCTGGGAGACCACCCAGCGGGAGGCCGGTGGTGGACGTGGGAACCCAGCAGTTCCCACGGGGCCCCACAGCTCCAGTCCTGGACACAGACCGGGAGAGACAAGGCCACGGGTCCCACCAGATCCTGTGCACAGACGTGGGCAGCAGCATCATGGCAGCCAGGGGCAGGGACAGCTGTGTCCATCTCCCGGTGAATGGACACGAAGCCTGACAAGCTCTAGCTCGCATGAGCCTTCAAAGCGCTGGGCCGAGGGAGGCTGCCCCGCACGTGCAGCCCAGGAACCCCACGGGCCCAGCGGCTCCAGAGAGGCTGGGGCAGGGCGGGCAGTGAGCGCGGGGGGCGGGGCTCTTCTGGTGATGGACGTGCTCTGGGAGGGCATGGTGGCATGCACGTGGACGCYAGAGCAACTTTAAAGGGTGCACTTGACAGTTGGTGAGTCAGCCCACTCTGCCGAGTCCAGGGATGCCCGCGGAGTGCAGTGGAGCAGTGGCCTTGGGTGGTCCCCTGACGCTGACCACGCCGAGCCCTTCTTGGGTGCTATTGTGGGAGAGCCTGGTCACASCCTCCCGCTGTGACTTGGGGTCTCCGTGCACGTGGCCTAGACCCTGCTGCACGGCTCTCTCGCCTGCCTGTCCTGATGGGTCTTTTGAAGCCAAAGACCTTYTGGTCTTGAGGAAGTCCTGTTGCCTGGCCGTGTCTCCCCGTCCCCCCTCAGAGGTGGACAGCTGGAGGAGGTCTGGGGACAGCTCTTGCTGGCTGTAGTCGTGCCCCGTGGGCGCCCGGCCTGTCCTTCCGCAGTGGGTCGCGCCCACTGGCCCCCTTCCCGGTGCTCGATGGCCCTCCTGCTCGGTGCTGCAGTCCTCGAGCCCATCTAGTCCCTGCAGAATGCCCCCAGGGCCTCTGTCCAGGCAGCCCCCCTCTGTGTCCTGGAGGCTGCTGCTGTCTGCCKGGGGCCGAGCAGTGTGTGGCGGGCACTCGGCCGCCTTGTGCTCCGAGGCGCCCTCCTTCCTCCTGGCTCCAGCCGGGCACCAGTCCAGGGTGCTGTGGCCTGGCGCTGCCCTCTGCGGGCTCCTGGCTCTGCCCAGAGGGCGGCCCCTCCTCTGGGGCCCGAGGTTCGCTGCAGCCCACCCCGTGCCCATCCCCCACGGGCGGGCTTCCTCAGGGTGGTGCCCCTTCCCTGCCACCCAGCGTGGCCCTMAGGTGTGGGACCTTGAGACACACGGCCTGGACATGGGGGTGGGGTCACGGCGTGGTCCTTGGAGAGCCAGCTGGTTCTCCTGGGGGACTGGGAGAGRGAGGAGGGCTGCTGGGCAAGAGCTGGCCGGGAAGGGTCATCGGGCACTGTTGCCGCCATGTGGACTTGGGCCCCTCAGTTCTACCTCCGCTGATTTCTCAGTTGTGCAGGGGGACGCTGGCCTCGAGCCTGCTAAGAGAAGCTTGGCCAGGGTGAGGCCGGGCCCAGGGCCGCCACCAGCTGACCCATGGCTTCCTGTCCCTGAGTCGGGGTGCCCTTCCACCTGTCGGGCTGTGAGCCRAGGCCTGTGACTGGCCCCGCTCAGCTGTGGGAACAGCACTGTCCCCCYGACAACCCATGCTGGTGCTGTCTGAACCCCAAGCCCGTGTCACGGGGCCAGGATGTGGAAGYCACTTCATCTCAGTGGCTGGTGTGCTGGTTCCGGCCCAGGCACAGAGCTCTCTGGGCTCGCTGAGGTCTCAGGGCCCAGGGCTGGTGGAGGGAGCCGGGCTCCAGCTCACAGCTGCCCGGGGTGGGGAGCTGCCCCGGGGCCTTTCAGGGCCTGAGGACCAGCCTTCTTTACAGGGAAGGATAAGTTCATGGCCGCCTGCCCCACCCAACCCGAAGTGCCACAGCTGATCAGGGGCAGGGACAGTTGGCTTTGTCACCCTTAGGCCCGGGCCTCAGCAGGAAGAGGGGCCTCCTGCAGAAGCAGGCCTCTGGGGCTTTTTCTTCCATGTGTTGCTTTTGAAGAATCCAGCGGTTCCTCTTTCTGCTGCGCAGGGCAGACCCTAAAAACACCTGTGTAGAAACTGCAGAGTGGCCTTGGTAAGCCATGTCGGAGTCGACGACTGTTCTGTGGTCTTAAAGACTTTTGTCAGATATCAGGAGCTCCTAATGTTAGTTCTAAATGTATCGAGGAACAAGAAAAATCCCAGCAACTAGGAAGGCCAAGGCAGGAGGATCCCAAGTTCAAGGGCAGCCTCAGCAATCTAGGCCCTGCCTTAAAAAATAAATAGGGCTGGAGATACAGCTCGGTGGCAGAGCACCCCTGGGTTCAATCCCCAGCCCCCAAAGTAAAAGTGGACATCTGTTTAGGRCCGTGTAATGTAGCATTAGGAATGCTGAGTATTTTATTTCTTGGTTATAAAAACAGGACCACGGGACTTACCAAGCTGGGTGTGGTCACATGCCTCTGGAGGCTGAGACAGGAGGATTGAGGTTTGAGGCCGTCTGGGCAACTCAGCAAGACCCTGTCTCAAAGTTTTTAAAATAATTTAAATGAAAAATGTTCTCAGTGTAGTTCGAGCGGCCGTCCCCACCCAGCACCGTTCCCCTCGCTGACAGACCATCCCTACTGCCGGTGACTCAGTGCACGGGCTTTGACCTGACCGCCGAGCGAAAGCCACAGGCGACCCTGCCCTTCACGGTGAACGTGTGTGCGCAGCGCTTGGTTTGAAGCGGGCTTTGTGCAGGTTTCGCTCAGCTGTGGCTGAGGGGAGTTCCCGGCACGCCTGGGTGGGCCAGGATGCGGGTGGTGGGTGAGTGTGCTTCCACCGCGCCCTCAACTGGCGATGAGTCTGGGGAACTTCACACACACACACACACACACACACACACACCCGTGAGCCGGGAACCTCGGGCCTGCCGCACCTTCTTGGCTGACCCTCTTTCTCTTGCCCGTTTTGTAAACACCACCTGGGGTCACCGCAGGCAGCCGAGTGGACAGCCCAGCTGCACGCTTCACTGCATGCTCCAGCTGGATGCTGGAGGCTCGGGGACCAATCAGTGACTCTGAAAGAAGTGACATTGCTGGTCACTGATCGTGAGGTGCATCCGTCATCTGCATGTGATCGGGGCCTGGGAACTGGCGGAGCCACTGTGCTTTATGTAGTTGCTCAGTTAATGCCAARGGAACGGGAACTTGGACTGAGCTGTTGGGACTGGCGGCAGCTAAGCCCTGGTTACTGGAACTCACGGTCAGCACCGTGCGGAATGGGGCCTGGGATTCAGAACCGGCTTATTTTGTTTATTTGTTTATTTTTGGTGCTGGAGATGAAGCCCAGGCTGCTCTTCCACGGGGCCCCTGCCCTGTTTACTTTGAGACAGGGTTCTGCTAATCGCCCGGGGCTACCTGGAACTTGCGGTCCTCTTGCCTCGGCCTCCTGCGTCGCTGGGATTCCTGGTGGGTGCCACTGTGCCCAGCTCAGGATTGGTCTAAAAGTCTCTCTAAAGCAGCTTTTTAAATTGCGGTTTCTGATCAGTTTGGCTCAGGACATAAAAGACTGTTGGTGAGGATGAGCTGGTGCCCGTGTTCTCAGCCTGTGGTRGGTGCAGTGACGTCATTCAGACCCTGGAGGCGCTCGGTGGGAGTGAAAGACGAGTGTCAGATCCTCATGCTGCCGTGTGCAGTGTGGCCTTGGACCAGACACTTGACCTCTCTGAGCTTCTGCCTCTCCTGCAAAAAGGGGACTCCGGTCGGCGCCTGCCGTGGGTCCCTGAAGACCGAGCAAGCTGCTCTGGAGTAAAGGAGAGGACGCTCGGGAGATGCAGGCTGTCAGCTCCGGGGCCTGGGCAGGGCGGAGGGCCCCGAGCCGGGTGGTGGGGTCCAGCCCTGCCACGTGTCTGCTTGAGGCAGCGAGGGAGATGGGTCCTCGCTGTCCTGGGGACCCTGCAGCGCCCCTCTGTGAGGCTGCTTGGGCGGCGTGCTTGACGCACAGGGGTCCCAGGAGCCCGGAACACACAGCAGGCCCAGGCCTGCCRAGCTGGCGGCCCAGGCGCCCACCCCCATGCTGTGAGCTGCAGGTCAGTCTCCTGCTGCCCGGGTGGCCTCGGCCCCTGGTCCCCCTCTCTGGTCCCCRTGTGGCCTCCTGCTCACCCTCGTCTGCCCTCCCGCCCACAGGCAGCTGCTGAAGACRGAGCTCGGGCCCTTCTTCACGGAGTACCTGCAGGTGGGTGGCACTTGCTGGCCAGGGAGGACGGGGTCACCTGCTGTTGCTGGGTGTGGCTCCGGCTGTGCTGCAGCCTGCGAGGGGAGTGCAGGGACTTGCTTCGCGAGGCTTGGTGTCCCCGTCCAGCCAGTGTGGGGTGTGGTGGTGCTTAAGAAAGACGCAGGTGAGTCGTAGTGACGTCCCTGGCACCAAGAGGACTTGGTGCTGGTGATGGTCCACCCCCACCCAGCGACCAGTGCAGGACCCCAGATGTGGTATTTGTGCCACCTGGACAGTCCCAGGCCTGAGGCCTCTCCCAGCCTCTGCCCCCATGTGGCTGGCCCACCGCAGGCCCGAGCCCTCGGGAGCCAGGGGCTGGCGAGGTGGCTGCACTGACCCGAGATCACGCAGCCAGGAGGGCCAAGGGCATCGCACGGTGCTCTGAGCTCAGCCAGGCGGTGTGGATGCCCAGGGCCCCTCCAGGCCCCCAAAAACAGGCCCGGCAAGGCACCAGCCCAGGACGGGGAGAGGCAGTGGTCCCGCTCACGGGGTCTTAGGGCTTTTTAAAGTTATCACGTGGCAGCCTCACGGGGATTGTCCCGGGCCACCCCTGGCTGTTCATGGAGACGAGCACAGACCCAGGGGTGCTGGCGTGTCGGCAGAGTGCTGCTGACGTCACCACGAGGTAGAGCCATCTCCCGGCCTCAGGAGCAGTGGCCCAGCCCAGACCCCCGGCCCCCCCGGCCCTGCGCCCCCCAGCCCCCTGTCCCTGTGCCCTCCGTCCCTGCACCTGCCTCTTCTGCACAGGTCACATCCGTGCAGGGGCCATGGGCGCTCTCTGGCCGCTTCCCGTCCACATCCTGGTTTTGAAGTCCTCTCTGTCCCCATGAGCCCTGCTCCGCCTCCTTCTGGGGACACCGCTCCTCATAGGGACGCAAGCAGTATCATGGGTGGGCTGGGCCGTCCCCGCCTCGGCTCTGGGAAGGTGCATAGAGACCTCGCTCTGGGCCGAGCCRCCTGCCTTGTGCCTGGGTCCCCCGTGTGTGGCCAGGAGCCGGGCGTCAGGAAGGGGTGCGCAGGGGCCTGCCCAGCCCAGCCCAGGAGGCTCCAGGTCAGCCCGCGTGTTGGAGGGCGTCCCTGCCGCCACCTCCTGCCTCGTGACCCCCTGAGGTGCAGGCTCTGCCTGGTGGGTGAGGAGCCCGGGGCAGTCGCTGCCCCTGAGGCCCAGCTGCTTGTTGGTGGCCTGTGAGGTCTCGTGGGCCTGGTCACCCCAGGGCACACCGTGACAGTGACGACCCTCTGCTTGCTTCCAGAACCAGCTGCTGACTCAGGGCATGGTGATCCTCCGGGACAAGATCCGCTTCTACGAGGGTGAGTGGTGGCCCCTCAGCAGGGACCTGCCTACCTGCGGCTGGCCTGCCGGGACCATGGGACAGTGGCCTGGCCCRTGTGCACGCGGGGTCATGCCTGCTGGGCTCTGCCTGGTCCCCAGGGCTCTGGGCTGGAGGAGTCGCACTCTGGTCAGAGGGCTTGGAGGACAGAGTGGCCCCGGGCAGCGGACCTCAGGGAGAGCGTCCCTCCCTCACACCCGCAGCTAGGTGGACCTGGCCGCCAGGGAAGGCCCTGCCTCTCCTCACTGCCCTCGGGGACTTGCTGCCGGGTAGAGCCTGTCCTGGGTCCTGGGAGGAACTGCTCGGGGACTTGGCGGCTGGAGGGGAGCTGGCTCAGACAGAAGCTGAAGGGCCAGGGCCAGGRCCAGGAGCTGCTGACTGAGCGTCGCGAGGGTGGTCAGATGAGCTTTCTCAAAGCTCATTCCCACCTCGTGGAGACTTCAGGTCCTTGTTCCCAAATGGGGACAGTGCCGTGGTGATAGGCTGTCTGTGGCTACACTGCAGAGAGGGGTGGTGACAGTCCCGGTGGCCTCTCTTTCTGGCCTGGCAGGAGGCTGTGGCCTTGACCTCTGGCATCCAAGGGCCTCAGGCAGTAGCCCAGGTGCCAGCGCCCTTCGGCAGGTGTGGCATGGGGCAGGGCAGCGGCGGGAAGAGCCCCTCTGCAGAGTCCTGCTTGCCCGGGTGCTGGCTCAGGCTCCGGGGCTCGTGGAGCACMTGCGACACCAGTCTCCGCTCTGCCAGGTGCGCCCCGCACACCTGCCAGCCCAGCAGACTCGCAGCTCAGCCCTGGCCACTGGGGGTCGGGCTGCTTCCTGAGCAGGCAGCGTCTGTGGCTGAGCTGGGAGCACRGGGCAAGCCCAGCCGGGGCAGCCAGGGCACCTCAGAGAAGGGAGGCTCCGTGTGGCCTGGCGGAGCTCGGTCCCCACCTCCTGTGTCCTCCAGGCCTCCCAGCGGGCACTTGGTGGCTGACGGAATTGACAGGCAGCCTAGGAGGCCGTGTCCAACCTCCCTGGGCACCGGGGACAGCAGCAAGTTCTGGGCTGGGAGTCACCACCTGGCTGTCAGCTCCCAGGTCCCACAGGCACACCACGTCCTGCCCAGTCTGGGTGCCCCCTCTAGTGCTGTAGGTGGACCAGCTCCCCGGGCTCCTCCTGGTGCTCCCTGCATGTCAGCCCTGGAGGTCTCTGGGGACCTGGAGGTGGAGGGATGCAGGGTCTGCCCTGCAGGGACTCACAGCTGGGGACAGAGACACGGAAAGTTGGTGGGGYCCAGTGTGGTGGACGTAAGGAGGAGGTGGCCTGGGGAAGAAAGGTCGCCGTCCTTTGGCCAGGCTGCACGGAGCGGTCGGCCTCTACAGGCCTCGCGTGTGGCGAGTTTAGAAGGATGTCTGCCCTGCCGCCCTGTCCTGCTCCCGCCCGGGTTTCCCCAGAGGAGTGGCCGCCGGCCAGGCCCCAGCTGGGCTGTGCAGGAGGAGGCCGGCAGGGACGGGGCAGCCCTTCTCTGGCCTCCAGCAGGCCCTGGACGCCAGCCAAGCAGGGCCTTCCTGGACAAGGAAAGAGAGGAGAGGTGGAGGCCGAGGGCTGCTTCCCGGGATGGGAGGTGGCCGAGGCCCAGGCTGTCCAGCAGGAGCCCCCGGAGGCCTTGTGCCCACAGGGCGCCACCAGCAGCCCCGCATCCTTGGCCGTGCTCCTGGGCTCTGGCCACACCCCGCCAGGGTCCCTGTCCCTGCGTCCTGCTGCTCTCTGGTCACTGCCCTCTGGCCTTCATCATCCCTGTGGTCTCCAGGGTRTGGCTGGGAGCCCTGAGCTGGACCGGCCAGGTTCACTCCTGTCCCTGGGCTGCACGATGGCTCTCAGCACCCTTGAGCTGAGGAAGGATCTACCCGGGTGACAGCCCTCATGGAGCCTGGCTGCCCCTGGGCCCAACAGCCCTYCCTGCACTGCTGACCCCGGGTCCTGGGGTCATGCCAGAGCAGACGCCCAGCTGCCTGTCCCCRCGACCCCATGGGGTGTTCTTCAGCCCGCTGCACAGAGGGCACCCCTGAGGGCTGCTGAGGAGCTTCCTGGGCCACACAGCAAGGCGCAGAGCAGCCCCTGACCGTCCCACAGCCCCCAGGTGCCCCACTCAGCGGCAGCCCCAGTGGGATCCTGGCCCAGGACAAGGCTCCCCTCCCGGGCTGTCAGCCTGCGGCCTGGCCGGGGCCTGGGTTCTGTGTTTTACAACATCTGCTTTCCGCAGCGTTTCCGCCCCGTGGGCTGGAGAATGGCCTGAGCTCAGCGGAACACTGGCCTGGCCGGCGCCCAGGGCTGCCCCACGGCCAGCCCCGGGGACTGAGCGGCCTTTCTTCCTGCACGACACAGGGAACTGAGGGACTTTGTGTGTGGGCAGAGCTCTGCTGCGGAGCAGGCATCCGCCCATCCCGGCCTCCCTGCTGGCCGCCTGGCCCTGGCAGCCAGGTACGGGCCACCCAGGAGGGGAGAGCTGGCCTCCCAGAGAGCAGCGGGCAGCCACTCGGGAGGCAGGGCCTGCTCACGGGGCTGCCCCTGGTGCCCTGCACCTACCCGGTCCTGGGGGCTTGGGGTGAGGGTGCAGGACCCCAGGAAAGTAAGGTGAGCCGGACGAAGGCCCTTGGCTGGCCACCGTGTTCCCATGGAAACCCAGAGCTGGGCTGCCTGGCAGTGTGGCCTGGGAGGCAGGCTGGCCACGTCAGGGGCTCGCCCCCCTTCATTTAGACCCAAACACAGAGTCCCTCCAAGCGGCAGGGGCAGGGGACACATGCTGGGGCCTGCTCCTTCCTGCACCCCACAGCCCGGGGCCCAGCTGTCTGCTGACTCCAGGCCCAGAGGCCAGCGCCCTGCAAGCTGCGTCTTCTGTAGGCGCCCAGAGCCAGCTTGGGGCACCTCAGCTGCCCTGTTCCTGGAGAGCCACCCACCCACTGGACAGTGCCACTCTGCCCCAGGCCAGCAAAATGCCCACAGAGCTTGTGGGAATGCCTGCTCACACACACCTGCTTTGGGTGTTCATGTAGCAAGAACGCCCCCTTCTTCGGCAGCTACCCCCTGAACCTGGCGTGGATGTCACCTCCTCAGGAGCCCTCCCCGCTGACCTGGACACGCTCCCCCTGGTGAAGTGGGCTTTCTGGCTTCACAAGCAGACGGGCAGCGTGGCCAGGCCCTGCGGGGAGACCTGACACTGTAGCCCAGGTCACTGCCCACCCTTGTCCAGTGTCTTCTGGGCCCAGCTCCCTGCCATTAATGGGTCCTGATGTCCAGCATCGGGCCTGGCTTGGGCACGCTTTCGGCTGGCAGGAGGACGACTCCTCACCTGCCTGGCAGGGTCTTGCGGGGGTGGGGAGACTGAGCTGCAGCTCCTGCGGGCACACCTGTGTGGCGGGCACAGGACTGGCCGCCTGGCACTGGACTGTGTACTGAGCGCCTGGGCTTAGTCTCATGGGGTCCCACTGGCTCTGGCCTGTTGTGCTCCTGTTTTGTAGGTGGCAGCCTGGGCACAGAGGGCAGGCAGTGTCACCTGGGCAGGCACCTCTAGGGCTTGGCTTGGGCCCTCGGCTCCTCGCCCTGGGTGGGCAGAAGGATCCACTGGCGTCTGTCCGGGGCAGGCAGTGACGGCTCCTTGTGCACACAGGACAGAAGCTGCTGGACTCCCTGGCAGAGACCTGGGACTTCTTCTTCAGTGACGTGCTGCCCACGCTGCAGGCCATCTTCTACCCAGTGCAGGTGCCCTGCCACGTGGGACAGGGTGGTGACGCATTCCTGCCCTGGCCTTCCTGCGCTTCTCGGGACCTGCCCGTGAGAGGCAGATCAGGAGGACCCTCCGAGCCCTGCAGAGCTGAGCGCAGGCACCTGGCCCCGAGTGCAGGACTGTCCCTGCCAGGGGAGCCGGGAGGGCCCTGGGCTCTGTGGGGGGGTCATCTGGGAGGACAGGAGGTACAGGGGCCCTGAGGGTCAGTGGCCCGTTCCCGTGTCCTGACCCGTAACCCGGGGTGGGCGGGGTGGAGCCCTCTTGGCGGCAGATGGGTGCAGCGCCCTGTCCGCAGGGCAAGGAGCCCTCGGTGCGCCAGCTGGCCCTGCTGCTGTTCCGGAACACCATCACTCTCAGCGTGAAGCTGGAGGATGCACTGGCCCGTGCCCATGCCCGCGTGCCGCCCGCCATTGTGCAGATGCTGCTGGTGCTGCAGGTGGGTGGCGGGGCCGCAGCCGGGCCGCTGGGTGGGGCCTGGTGGGCACAGGCCGTGGGAGCACCAGAGGTGGAGCTGAAGGCCAGGGTTCCGGACCTGTGACTGGGGACAGGGAATCTGGGGGGGGACCGACGAGGCCAGGAGAGGCTGCAGGTGCCCGGGAGGGGGTGGGCCAGGGCTGTCCTCCTGGGCGGACGCTGTGCTTACCTCCTGTGCTGGGGGCCCACACGGCAGGGACCTCAGCGTCCTCCCGTTGGAGCTCACCAGCCAGCAAGGCCTGGCCCGCAGCAGGGCGGGACCCTGTCCAGAGGGCGGCACCGGGCAGCTGGGTGCCTCCTGCACCCTGGCGCTCCCCACGGCCTGCCATCACCACGGGAGGCAGCAGGCACTGCCAGCCCACCTTACAGGCAGGGAAAGAGCCTTGCCCGCAAGCCTGACCTCACGCTGGTCTTGGGCTGCCAACCCTTGCTCCTTGTTCTCAACCCCCCGGGCGCATGGAGTCCCTTTAAAGTTAGGGTCTGTCRGTCGGCCTGGGGGCAGGGGCTGGAAGGTGAGGTTGGTAGGGTGGAGAGTGGCGCTGGGCGGGAGGCCTGAGGTTGTCCTGGCTGCCGAGCTGGATGTCCACCATGGGTGGCGCTTCTAGCTGTCAGGCTGGGAGGTCCCAGGACCTCTCTGGGCCTGTTCCTCGTCTCTGTGATGGAAAAGGGGGTCAGGCCCCGCAGGGCAGGTGTGAGGGCCGCAGGGAGAGTAGGAGGGCCACCTTCTGTGGTGCTGGGAGCAGCAGGCAGCACAGGGCTGGGCTGTAGTTGCCCCAGGGAACTCCAGGGAGGGAGGCGGCCAAGGCCTGGGCGGCGCTGCCCCCTGGTGGCCGCCATGCCTCCTGCAGCCCTCAGATGGTCCCCACCTCGCCCAGGGCCACCCCTCCCACAGGCCTCTGCCTTGCCCCGCCTGTCGCCTCTCCTCTCACCTTGAGAGACCTTGGCCTAGTCTCTTGCTGAACTTGTCACCGGCCTTGTCTTGGTCCCCAACTGAACCTGGCCCCTGCTGTTCCCAGCCTTGGGTGGGTCTGAGGTCATAGCTGCTGGCCAGCATGTGTGGAGGGCCTCTGCTGTGTGTCCCTGAGCCCCCAGGATCACAGCTGCCCTGGGGCCCCAGGGATGGGGTCTGAGTGTGTCCGCTCTCTGCCTGTGCCGGGGCAGCAGGGCCCACAGGACGGGAAGCAGAACGGTGCAGGCAGAGGCTGGGCATCACGTGCTCACTGCCTGTTCCTGTGTGACCTTCACGCTCTTGCAGGGGGTGCACGAGCCCAGGGGCGTCACGGAGGACTACCTGCGTCTGGAGGCGCTGATCCAGAAGGTGGTGTCACCGTACCTGGGCACCTGTGGCCTCTTCTCCAGCGAGGGCCCCTCCTCCCACTCCTGCATCCTGGGTAGGGGTCACCTGGGCCCTGGGCTGGGGCTGGGGTGACCACTGCCCCCGTTCTCCTGTGGACAGACAGGAAGTCCAGGGCCACAGCCCTGCTGGCCCTGCCGTGTGGGACGGGGACACACAGAGACCCGGGGGTGGGAGTGGCACCAGGCAGGGGCAGGGATCCCCGCAGAACCCCAGGGCCCACCCACGCTGTCTTGGGATGGGAGGCCGCCAGGCGTCAGCCCAGAGCACGTGCCTGGAGCTGGGCGAGCCCTGGGCAGGTATTTGGTGGGGGGGAGGGGAGCTGGGGCCACCTGGCGGGCAGCAGGAGCTGGCCACCGTGCTGCCCTGGTCCTTTCAGTCCATGGCCCGGCCCCACCTTCATGGGCTCTGGTCCAGCGGGAAAGGGAGMCCAGTGAGTCCCCACAGAGACTCTGGGCTGATAGGTGGCAAGTGTCCTGGGCTGAGGGGACAGTAGTGGTACAAGGGCCACTTGGGACTCCCCTCACATCTAGAGTGGCAGCCCCATGCCCATGGCCAGCTGCATCTCACTCAGGCAGAGACAGAACTAGGCACTGCCTGGGGCCTGGACAGGGGGACCCCAGCCCCGCTGAGGAGGGTCCTTCAGCCTCCGTGTCCAGGCAAGGCCCCGGACCACTCAGCCCTGCACCTGGTGGTCACGAGGGGACGGCAGGATGAGACCTGCCCTCCCCTGCCCACCTTGTACACAGAAGGCCAAGTTGTCCCCCTTTGCCCTCGCCCCATCCAGTCTGCTGCCCAGCACACAGTGGTCTGCAGCGGCCATCTGTGACAGGCTTTCCCCAGCTCCAAACAGCCTGACCCCCTGGCAGGGCCTTTGTCACAGCTCCAGCCACCCTGTGACTGCGTGCACTTGTCCTCCCCTGCCCCGGCATGCCAGCCTAAGGTGGGCGGGAGCCAGGTGGCCCAGGAATGCACTGGCACCTAAGATTCTAGACTTGGACGGTGGCGAGGCCAAGGCCCAAGGTCACCGTCTGGCAGGTTCTTGACACGTCACAGTCCAGGTGAAGGCCTGAAGCTGGGCAGCTTGCTGGAGGTGCTGCTGACCGCCCAGGCTGAGGCTGGGAACCCTGGTGTCCCACGGCGGGTGACATCCCACACCCCTCCTGGCACGGGGGACTGAGGGAGCGTGGCCGGAGCCCACGTGGCCCTTCCTGCAGGGTTAGTGCTGGGCCAGCAGTGTCTGCCCAGCAGAAGGGCCCTAGAGCACGTGGGGTCCAGGTGCTGGAGGCAAAGGCCAGGGGCCACGAGGCCTGAAACCCTGTGTCTCCCTCCAGAGAAGCGCCTGCTGCGCTCCCGCTCCGGGGACGTCCTGGCCAAGAACCCCGTGGTGCGCTCCAAGAGCTACAACACGCCGCTGCTGAACCCTGTGGCCGAGCACGAGGCGGAGGGTGCGGCGGCCGCCGGCCCGGGCATCCGCAGGCACTCGGTGTCGGAGATGACGTCCTGCCCCGAGCCCCAGGGCTTCGCTGGCTCCCCTGGCCCGGGCCCCACGGGCACCTTCAGGGCCTCCCCGTCGCCCCACTTGGGGCCCTGTGCCAGCAGACTGTACCCCCCGGCCCAGCCGCCGGCGCCAGGCCCTGCCCGCGGCTCCCCACCCTCCTCCAGCCCCGAGACCCTGGTGGACCAGACGCTGGAGTCCGCGGACTCTGACTCCGAAGGGATTTTCATTGACTTTGGCCGGGGCGGCGGCTCGGGGGTGTCCGGCTTCGAGGGGGCGGGGGGCCGGCAGAGCGTGGTGTGAGGCCAGCGCTGCGTGTCCACGGGACCTGAGAGACTTTCCGCCCCAGCCTCACTAGCCCCTTTCGACCTTGTCACTGCCTCAGTCACTTTATCCCCCGGTCTGCGGGAAAGCCTTCTTGCTGCTCTGCCAGGTCCAGTGGGCGTCCCAGTGGGCGCCACCCAGGTGCCCAGCCGGCCTTGCCCAGGGAGGACACGGTGGCTGCCCCGCCCACCCTGAGTGCCAGGGTGCAGCAGACCCACCCTGCCCACGCTGGGCCACCGCCAGGCCCCCTGGGTGGCTGCCGGACAGGGAGGGGAGGAATAAATCTGTCTGCCCCCTCGGCTCCTCTCTGCCCCCTCTCCCCCCAGGCTCCTGGTCCTCAGCCCTCCCCTGCTGCACGGCACTCCCGGCCTATGGCGCTGTCCATCCAGTTCCGGTCTCTGTCCATCCTGATGGACAGCCTGGASAGGCCTGGAGCTGCTGAAGCCTGGGAGGAGGTCCGGGCAGCTCCTCTCCGTACCCCCGGGCTGAGCATGGGGTGGCCTGCTGAAGGCCACCTGGCCTGGGAGGGACTAGCTGTCCCTGCCCCACCGTCCCAGCAGGTTTTCCTCAAGGCCTCAGGTGGCCAGCTCTCCCTGCTGGCAGAAGCTGGGAAGGGGCCACTCCTGCCCCGAGGGAGAGCTGGGGGTGGTGCAGGGCCTGGCTGGGCAGAGTCACTCAGAGTGGGCCTCTCTGGGCCCCTTTCGAGGGCCAGAGGTTGGTGGGGACCGTTCTGCACCTCTTCCACCCTGGTACCCTTCAGAGCTCCCGGGAGTGACTTTCTGCTGTGGGTGGGGAGGGAATGGCCTCCGAGTGGGTGAGGGACAGCCCAGGGCAGGGTAGCCAAGTGGTGGGACAGGAGGTGCCCAGGTCACAGGGTGGGGAGGGCCACCTATGAGATGCTGGCCCAGGGTGGGGCTGCTGGGGCTCTCCAGACTCCTGGCCCAGGYGGCCTCCACGTTGTCATCAGTGACAGGGGCACGTGCTGACCCCAGGGCTCTGGGAGCAGGTGCAGTGGGGCCACAGGCCTAACCCTGAGGAGCCCTCAGCCCAGCCGAGGTCCCCAGCTAAGCCCCATCACCCTGTCCCCCACCCAGCCTGGGGTCCCCGGTCTCTGATCCCTACACCAGGTGCCCATGTCCCCATGTCCTCTCTTCAGTGTGCCACACTGATCAGAGTCAGAAGGGGGATCACAGGACGGAGGCTCAGACCTGAGGGGTCTCCACAGGCAGGAAGGAGAGCCCCGAGTCCAGCAGCAGCACTGCACCCCTCACTGTGGTCCCCTCTGGCCTTGGAAGAGACTGGAGCTAGGTGGGGCGTGGGGGTCCCGGCCACCCACCACAGTCCGTCTCCAGCCCCGGGAGGCACCTCTGCCCCTCTCCCACCGTGCCCCAGCCCTGGGAGGTCCCTGAGTCCAGGGCTTGCCTAGGAGTGGGACRGCGGGTGGGCTGGTGCTGGGAGCTCAGGAGCGTCACCTGGGCGCGGCCAGCGGGCCGTTTGCTCTGCCTCTCAGGATGGCGTCCCAGGAACTCGTCCTGTGTCCTCTGTGGTGTGGGTGCTGCTGGGGTCTCGGGAGCCCCTGCCCCATCTGCCCCACCTCATTTCAGCCACGTGCTGGGGGTCCCCATGAGCAGCCCTGGGATGCCACCAGCCACCCTGTAGCCTTGGGGACAGATGCACCAAAAGTTGTCTAAAATGAAAAGTCCTGCTGAGAGCCACATCGACAGCGCGTGTGGTCCCCGGGGACTCCCCTTCCCACTGCAGGGGGGCTGCGCTCCTGTGGGCCGCCCCCTCCACCTTCGACCCTGTTTCGGCTTCCTTCTGTGAGGGCCCATCTCCACCCAGGGCAGGGCTTCGAGACAGGACTGAGGACTCACRCTGCACTTGGGGAGGTGGCCCTCTAGGCCCACCCTGAGAGCTGGAGGAGGGTCATGGGGACCAGTAACCCACCCAGGTCACACGAGCCTTGTCCCCAGTGTGGCAGGGGCCGCTGGGGGGTCACTCAGGGAGCCAGGAGGGCCTTGCCTACAAGCCCCCTTCTGGGAGTGGACATCTGCTCCGAGTGCGTGGGGACGGGGAGAGCCTGTGAGAAATGTCCACCAGAAACCCCAAAGAGCAAGTTCAGGAGCGGAGGCCATCTGTGACTTCCCATTCAACCACGAAAGTCATGTCTGACTGCTGATTAAGGAACACCAGCACAGAGGTGCACGCCGGCGATCCCAGCACTGGGGAGGCTCAGGCTGGAAGATGACAAGTTCAAGGCCAGCCTCAGCAATCTGCAACACCCGGTCTAAAAACAGAATGTAAAGTGGGCTGTGGGTGTATGTTGCTCGGTGGGTAAGCACCCTGGGTTCCATGGAAGGGAGGGGGGACAGATTCTGGGAGTGCACCCAAAGGAATTGAAGCAAGGCCCAGAGGTGTTTACATCCGGGTTCATAGCATCCTTCTAGAGTCAAAGGCAGAGAACCCCGTGCCCATTGACAGCTGAGTGGGTAAACAGAAGGTGGTATGTCCATACAATGRAATATTATTTAGTCTGAAAAAGGAAGGAAATTCTGATTATACTAAAATTGGATGAGTCTTAAGGACATTATACTAAGTAAAATGAGCCAATCACAACCACATGATACCGTGTGATTCCACTATATGAAGTACCAAGAGGAGTCGGAGTCTTAGAGACCCGGTAGCAGTGGTTACTGGGGAGGGGATTAGAATTTCAGTTTTGCAAGATGAAATTCTGGAGATTGCTTGGCCGTTGAGCCACATCTCCAGATAGGGTCTCCCTAAGTTGCTTAGAGCCTCCCAAGTAGCTGGGGCTACCATGTGGGCCACCTGCTGAGCCTGAGCGGTAGACTTAAGAGGGTCGGAGTGGTGAATTTCGTGTGGTGTACACTTCATCACAAATTCTTTTTTAAAAACATGGAAGGGAGGGAGGAGAGAGAGCCTTCCTCCCTGGTGATTCTCCAGGGCTGCTTCCCTGCCGGGCTCTGGGCTGCCCCAACCCCATGGCCCTCTGCTGCAGTGGCCCCCGGGCAGTGCCCTAGAGGCCATGAGAAGGGCAAGGCTGCCAGGCACCCACTGGAGATGGGCCACCAACAATGGCCCCTGGGGACGGCTCTGCACAAGATGGCGAGGCGCACAGCAGACCTGTGCGCCCTGGGTTCTGTGGCTCAGCAGTGGACTGAGGGTGTCCCCGGGAGGCCCGCTGGGTGACCGCTGGTGCAGAGCTGCCCGCCAGCTGTGAGACCTGAGTGGTCTGCAGGAGTGTCGCCCGCCCGCCCTTTCCCTCACAGGACACTCCAGCTGTGTTGGTGGAGGGGACAGCAGGTGGCATGACGTGGAGCTGGGACCAAGCAACCCGCTGGGGCAGAGGARGAGCCGGATGGTGGGAGCCCCTGGCGCTCCCCACAGGCGCAGCTTCCAGGAACAGTGTCCCCCAGGAACAGTGCCCCCCAGGGACAGCAGCCACCCCAGGGGGAGTGTCCCATAAGACAGGTGCCCTGCTGCACGGCCCGGGAGCCTCACCAAGGGTGCCTTCATGGGCGGCACCAGACCCACAGCAGCCACCGGCCACAGTGTCCAGGGTCCTTGGCCTGCATCCTGTGGCCTCCCACCGCGCAAGCTGGACATGCCAGGGCGTCCCCTCTCAGGGTGGACACCACAGTGGTGGAGCCAGTCACTGCCTGGGTCCTGGTGGCCAAGGGGGTGGTTGAAGCTGTTGTCTCCCACCTTAGGACAGTGAAATTGGTAAGGAGGGGAATTCTAGTGACACGAGGGCATCTGAAAGGTGGCACCTAACGGTGAAGGGGCGTTGAGAGCAGGGCTTGCTCAGCTGCCCACCACTGGGTGCCAGTCCCGGTGTCTCAGGAGGCTGAGGCAGGAAGATCGCAAGTTCAAACCAGCCTCAGCAGAAAACAAGGCACCAAGCAACTCAATGAGACTCTTGTCTCTAAATAAAATGCAAAATAGGGCTGGGGGTGTGGCTCAGTGGCCGAGTGTCCCCCACACACAAAGGAATTCAGTCATCAGGCCCAAGGGTCCCAGAAATCCAGTGGAGAAACACACACACACATACACACACACCCCTCTGCTGTCAGCTCTGGAATAAAGGGTCCGGGGGTTGGGTCTGAGCCTGGCCACCCAGCCGTGAAGCCAGCCCTGAACACACAGTCCCCGTGTCCTGGCACACGGAGGAGAGGGCTGGAAGTCGGTCATGATCTCCTTCGGGTCAAGCTGGCTGCCACCCACGCATCACCTGGGAAATGTCGGTTCTGTGGTTTAATAAGGTCAGGACAGGCCAAGAGTCCGTGGGAGCTGCTGGCGGGGCGAGCTATTTGGGGGAAAATAAACGGGTTGCCAGGACCTTGGAGGCGGCCTGTCTTTCCTGTCTCCCACTCTTCACCCCCAGCGCTTGTCAGTGTGGAGTTTGCTGCTGGGGGAACCAACTCCGACTTCACAGACATTTGTAAGAGCAAATTTAATAAAGCTGGGAATAATGCTGCTCAGATGCAATTCTTCCTTTTTGCATTATTATTCTTTCTTTTCTATTGCAAAGCATTTGAAATGCCAGGAGTTATTGTTATAGCAACAAAGGAAATGACTGAGTGGTTGATGACTGATGAGAGGCGCTGGGGGACCCAAGGAAGGCTCTGAGGGAGCGCCTGGCTGACTCCTTCTCTGTTTCCCTTTCCTTTTCTTGTGAACGGCGGCCACGCCTGCGTTCCTGGCCCCACAATCACTCTGCATCGTGGCTTCATTGCATGTATGTTAATATCACCAGGCTAGGGTTGTGGAATTTGTATGAGACTTTTCACAAAACACAGATGCAGGGGCTGGGGATGTGGCTCAAGCGGTAGCGTGCTCGCCTGGCATGCGTGCGGCCCGGGTTCGATCCTCAGCACCACATACCAACAAAGATGTTGTGTCTGCCAAAATAAATAAATAAATTATTAATTAAAATATAAAAAAAAAAAAAACCCACAGATGCAAAGGA